CATGCCTCAACATCACCTGACCTCCCCTCTCTTAGGGCAAGTTTAGTTCGTGAAGATTTTTGGATTTAGCTACTGTAACACTTTCGTTTGTATTTGGTAATTAGTGTCTAATTATGGATTAATTAGGTTCGAAAGTTTCGTCTCGCGATTTCTCACTCAACTGTGCAATTAGTTTTTTTTATCTATATTTAATGCTCCATGTATGCGTCCAAAAATTCGATGTAATGGACAAAAACCAAAAAATTTTAGAACTAAACGCGCCCTTACTCCAAGAAATGCAGGAATTGGTCTGTTCATCATCAACACCCAGGTTCACCCGGCGCAGACCATCTACATCAAGGCGATAATGACAGCCACAACATCAGTGCTGATGGCCGAGGCTGCGGCAATGGCCCTTGCGGCACTTGTCACTAACTCTCTTGGTTTGCAGCAGGTCACCTTCCTCTCCGACAACCAGCATCTGGTGCACTTCCTAAATGGCTACGACCAAGATAATCCACCGGAGTGGAGGATCGAATACTTCACTCAAACCTTCTCCAATTTCACAGGCCGAAGAGATATGAGAATTCACAGGGTACAGAGAGATCACAATCAGACGGCTGATATCCTAGCTAGGCAAGCTCTCTTAAATCGCAATCACCTGTTTCATCAGGCTTGTCATGTAACTGCTCTAATGCAGCTCATATTCAGTGCTCTCTGCCAGAGGCACTACAATCTGTAGCCTTGAACTCTGTAAGGCTCCTAACAGCTATCTGCTGTTGACAACAAAGTTGTTTGTTGTCAAAAAAAAAACTAGTGCTTGATATCTTGAGCCCCGTGTTGGCACATCGGGCACGTGAAAACTTTTGTTTAGCACAGTGCGGTGAGGACGGGACGGTCTCGTGTGGCGTGCCCTCCAGCGGTGAGTGGGGGCGCGGCCTTCGGGCCCGCGGCGACGCGAACGGGGGTGACGTTCGACGTTGGACGGCTGCCGCGAGGTTAGCAGCTGGGACATCTGCTCGGTGCCTCGCCGTCTCCTGTCCGCGCGTATCGTGGGCTGTGCACGCTCCCACCGGCCGACCGCTTGTGTGTTTTTTCCTTTCACAAGACGGAACGCAAGGGAAACTTCTTTTCAAGGGATTTGATGAGTGCAGAGGAAGCAAAGCATTCGAGGTCCCGAGGAGATAGAGATACCGAGATAGCAGTGCGTTTGTGCGTGTCACGTGAGAATCCAGGGTGGAATGAAGCTACTTCCCCGTTCATAATATGGTGATGTCATTTTGGCTTTCCTTCTCTATTTTTAAAATACACCCTGTCCAGTCGTTCTACTGTTTTGAGGCAACTTTAACTAACTATTTCCACTCTTATCCCTCTTTATTAATGTTATTTTATTATCATTTCTGGTGCATTTCACCAAGTAGCATACGTGCATCTATTAATAGATATATAGACTTTAAAAACTTAACTGATGTAAATTGGTAATTTGCCCAGCTATGAACGTATTATGAAACCACAACATTTTGAGCCGGAGGTACTGTTTAGGTAATTTGCCACAAGTCATTTACTTCTGTAAAACGCACAATTGTCGTTTGTCGTTGGTTCTACGCTAATATTTGTTTATCCGTTCAAAATTATAAGTTGTTTGTATTTGTTCTAAGTCAAACATCTCTAACTTTAGCTGAGTTTATAAAAAATATATACAAATAACTACTACATAAAACTATATTCAATAGATGCACCATGAAATATATTTTAATAGTGTATTTATTTGATACTATAGATGTTAATATATGTTTTTCTATAAACTTGATTAAAATTAAACAGGTGTGATTTAAGGCAAATCAATACGACTTACGGTTTGAAGCCAATAGAGTACATGAAATGAATGATCTGCATGTATATGTGTGTGTCAAATAATATTGATGGCCTTTCGTTATTTGTTTAGTTCTTCTTATATAGTTAAATACATCAGCAGCCCATAAACTTCTCACAATATACCACTTAGGTTCAGAACTCTGGAAACTATTTCTAAGTCACTAAACTTGTGCAATGGTGCACCATGAACACAGACGTGTGGCATCCGTATGTCATCCACACGATGATACTCTTTTCGCTTCCCCTTGTTCCCCCTAAAGCTTTCCAGCAGCGCTTAGAGATGCCTTCTTGCTATCAATCACGGCTAGGCCGGATGAGGGGTCGGTGTGGGTGGCGTTGCCCATGCTAAGTAGGCGGCGAGCTGCCGAGATAGGCAATATGGTGCCGCGATATTTGACAAGTGTCCTAAAAGTAAAGTTTTTAAACTTCATGGTACATAGTGATTTCATGGATCATTGACCTATTTAGCTGTTCTTTTGTCTTTTTTACTGTATATGTTTTCAGTTGTTAGAGTATACTTTTCCATCCTCAAATATAACATTTTAATTGTCCTATTCTAAGTTTGACGAAAGAGCAACATATCAAATGAGCTTTATCAGATACATTATGAAATGTCGTTTCATAATTTACTTCTTTCATGTGATAAATGATAATATTCTTTTGGAAGAAGTATGTTTGTGGATATTGAGCTATTCCCCAAATCCAGTTATTACCAATTTACCATCCAACTTTAAACCTGAATATCTTTGTCCATTAAACTATTAAAATTGAATAACTTTAGCCCTCGATCAGTTCCAAAGATGGTTTTTACTATATATATATTCTTACAAAATAATCAGGGACAGAGCCAGAAAATCAGCACAGGGGGTAGGTTGTGGCTATAGCTGGCGGCAGGAGGGGCCAAGTTCATTGACGTGACTTAATTAGCACAAGAATTAAAGGTGGTCTCCTATTGCAACCAGAGTATTATGGGGTGTGTGGCCCCCCTGACCCCCTTCCCTCCATCCCTGAAAATAATAATAAATGTTTAAATCTCTCAAAATCATAACTAATTCACTTTAAATCAAGAAATATGAAACCAATCCATTTTGTTCTAAAAACGGATTCCATCAAACTATTAAAATTGAATAATTCTATTGGTGCTCTATTTATTTAAATTATTGTTTTGTGCTGCACTTCACACTGATTGCATGATGTTTGAGGTCCTGCCTTACTTGAAATCTATCATCTAGTCACACGATCAAAATAAAGTAAAGCAGTAGCCATACAATACCTAAATACGATCTATATGCGGTGAACTATGGCATTTTGGAGGTTGGCGTCATCTTCCATGTACTCAAAATCCATTGGGTCCTTCTTGTTGATCTTCTTGCCTAATATAGAGCAAAAACGGTAATTTAAATAAACAAAGAATATAACTACAAGAAGTAAAACACTAGCAATAGAAGATCCAAATAATTCTAAACAGCCCACTAATAGATAGATTATACTTTTAGGGCTTGTTCGGTTCCTGAGGAACCGTGGCCTGAAACCTTACCGACTAGGAACACTAATCTAATTTATATAGGCAGCTCTCAACCAGAAATTATTCCTACCCAAAATGACCATAAAAGAACGAGCCCTTAGAAAACTTTTGGTATTGGTTCCATATTTTTTTTTGGTATGGGTGGAGTTTAAATTCTATTTTATTATTTTAAAAATATTAGCAAAATCACTTTTGAAACCTGACAAGGGCTAAAATTATTCGGTTTTGACAGTTTAATGACCAAAGATAGTCGGTGATAGTTAATACCAGGTTTGGGCAATAGTTTAGTGAGTAAAAAAATAGGCTTCTTTATATTCTTAATATACTTATCAGATTTAGAAAAGTTTGACCTAGGATAACTAATTTTTTCTTATATTTTAGAGGGCAGAGAGGAGAACTGACACCTTTTATGAAAATGCATTAGAAGGTGCGGATAATTGGTTTGTTATCAAAAAGGCTAAATACTCATATTCTATCTATACGAAAGGGTAATTAATTAATGCGTATTGGTAAGGATGCAAGTGAGTATACAATGGTATTTTTTATCAGCTAACTAACTTAACTATGGTTAAATACCATTAAAGTTTATTTCTCCCCTCACTTAAATTATGTGAAATGTCATTCAAATTTATTGAACAAGTTTTTGGATCGATCTATATTCCAAAATAATTAGAACTTGCACCTCTACTTACAGCCAAAATCAAATAGTATACCTAAGTCCATCTATATTTGTCCTCGGCCAAAGTTGTTTAGTTTGACTTTCAAAAATTATACATGAGCATTAAAAAAATTTCCGTAATGAATCCAGCCATGGCAGTTTTATGTCGTGATTATACATAAAATTTTTATAGACGTCCACGGCAAAAAAAATTTGACAAACGTCCACGGCAATTTTTTTTATAATAAGAGGCAATATCTATCATCTCACACGCACATGTATCTCATACATTTATCTGAATTTTTTTTATCGTGCTACCGTATTTTCCTCGTTCTCTCTCTACGCAGGCGTATCCAGTATCCATCCACCGGTCTTTCCTTTAGCAGTTTCGCACCGTCACTTCAATTCACTATTAGTCGCTGCGCCGAACTCCGATCCGCCGTCAATGCCATCGACGCGCTCCACTCCACGTCCCCGCTGCGTCCATTGCAGATCGACGAACCGTAACCTTAATCTAAAAAACACAGTGCAATACATACCGCGGATAGGGTTCAAAACACGCACGTACTTTTACTCTATCGCAAAAGTGCTCGGGGCGACCGGGGCATAGCTCGAGGTGAGGGGCGGACGACGGTTTACATGGTGGCGGCGGCGGCGACGAGACGGGCATTGCACGGAGCAGAGAGGGAGGGAGAGTGGAGTGGGCTGAGCAGCGCGGAGAGGATAAAGACGCTGGGGTAGGGAGGTTTTTTTATCTGAGTCTGCTGACTCGGATCCAAACTAGACAGCAAAACTAACGTGCCACAGTGATAACTGATAAATGTATCGTTTTTCGCGATCTGCTGTTGAAAACGTAACGCCTGATGTTTCTATTGGAGAAGGCGCCGTCCGTTGTGACGGTAAAAAGTTATATATCCCCGCTGCGTCCACCTTCTCAAGTCCTTCCGGCGTAGCCGCCCGCCGATGGCGCGGCCGGCGGCGAAGGCGCGGGCGCCGAAGCACTTGGTGGCGCTCGCCGTCGTCGCCATCCTCGGCCTCGTACTTGTCGCCGACTACCTCTGGGCTTCGTCCTCCGCGTCGTCCTCCGCCGTCTGGTCCTCCAGGCTTAACCTCCACACCAGCCCCGCCGGTTCGACGCCGCCCGTCGCGAAGAAGGTGAAGCATCCCTTTCTCACGCCCAATGCTTAGGGATGCGAGATTGCTGCCGGCTTGCCGCAGTGGCTCAAGCGTTAGTCCTCCGTGATTGGGCTGGGGGAGCGTATTACAGGCGCGCGTACGGGATTGGAGAGATCTGGTGGGAATCAGGGAGGAATTGGGAAACGTATGCGTGTTGATCAGCTGAGCTGAACATACTTGCTTGATTGAGGAATTTGCTCGACCTAATGCAGTCCATATATTTGCAGCCATTACGTGTTAGGCGTGGAATTGAGCGATAGATTTGTGGGTTCATTTGAATTTCACGCCAAATAGGAATGGAGGCAGCCTGAATGGAGGTACTCTGGTTGTGATCCTTGGCTATAGTAGGCCTTTTTCCTACAATGCTACAGCTTCTGCTTGTGGATTATGTGCATTAGTTTTCAATTAGCATAACTCCTACACTCTGCTTCAGATCTTCTTGAGTGATGTAGTATCTATAATTTCTATAGGTTGTCATAACAACAAGTCGTTTTGCTTTTATAAGCATATTCAACACTTCCCTGCAATCTAATTTGAAATCTAGGTCCTATGTGTGAAAGTAGAGTACATTGACCAGAAAACTAAGAGTGTTATCTTTTCAGTTTTCCATGGTCAGAAATATATTGTCCATTCACATTTGTTATCATACTTTTGCCATTAATTTGGCGTTATAACAACTGTAGATAATACCTTGCATATGTCTAGTTGACATGAATTTGGCATCACACAGTTTTTGCTCGAATCATTTGGTATCATACAGTAGTAAACAATGTGTAAAGTTCTGTTATGTGCTTGGATGTTTTGCATTATTTTTGTATGTAATGACATATGCAGTGTGGAATTGTCAATTATCACTTGGTCTAAAAGTCTGTTACATTGGATTCTATTTGCAACTTTACTTTGTTTTTTATTCTTGTCATGTTGCTAGTTGCTACAATGGCCTCGCTCAAGACTAGTCATTTTTATAATCTTGTACAGATTAAGGAGGACAAGAAATCTGTAGGTTCGACTGACATAAATGCAACTTTTGCGGACTTGGCAGCTCCAGAACTAAAATGGGAGGAGATGGCTCAAGCACCTGTGGCCCGTTTGGATGGCGCTGCTATACAGATTAAGAATCTCTTATATGTATTTGCTGGATATGGCACCATTAATCATGTGAGAAACCTGCCTGATATCTTCCATTATCCTATACGATCATGCTTTGTGTTTCAAGATATCTACTTTTCTACACTTTATGATATGGAGCAGTTATACCTTCTTCCACATGATGATTTCACTTTATATTTTGGAAGGTATAATAGAAAAAGTATTTGTCACTGTAGATTTGAATGATAGCTCAAATAGCTACTTATATACTCTTGCATTCATTAAAGGACTTATTACCATGTTGCCAAGTTGTGAAATAGACTGATTGTACTAGTATTGTACCCTATTCATTCAGTTTAAGTAAGTTACCTGAGTTATTGAGATTGCCAAGCTCTAGTTAGCCTGACCATTCAGTCATGCACTCATGTATGCACTTACATAATGAAATACACTTGAATTACTTGTGCTATATATTAGTTTTTGCTCTGATCCCATCTACATAACAAGTAATAACATTGCGAAGGCTCCCTTTCTATGCAATTCTATTATTTGTTATGTAGATGGGATCAGAGTAAAATTAGGGAAGAGGGTTGAACTTGGTGCCTTGCTGGTGCGTCTTTCTTAGCTTCTTTGGTGGTAGGAGCCTAGCTTGGCACCCCTTTGTAAAGTCTTTTCTTTTCCTTTTCCATGTAGGTGACTTACGTATAAATTTCTTCTTTATTAATAGAAATGTCAGTTTCATGCCATAAATAATACTAACATTGCTGGAATTTCAATTATATTTAGTAGTAGCAGAATGCAAATGTCACCCTGGTGTTCTATTCCATGTGTTTTTTTTCTTGATTGAAAAAAACTACAGTTAGATTTGAGTTATCTCAATATGTTAAGCAAGTTGCCTTCCTTAAGGAATTTCCTTTTTCTTTTTATTTTAGGTGCATTCTCATGTTGATATATACAATTTCTCGGATAATACATGGGGTGGAAGATTTGACATGCCCAAGGACATGGCACATTCACATTTGGGGATGGTTACTGATGGAAGATTCATCTATGTGGTAACTGGTCAGTATGGTCCACAATGTAGGGGACCAACAGCTCGAAATTTTGTATTGGACACAGAAACAAAAGAATGGCGTGATTTGCCACCATTGCCAGTTCCTAGGTACTATGTTCTTTTATTTTTTTAAATCAAATTGAGCATCCATGCATTGTGCATCTACGCATTACTTGCACTTGATAGTTTTTGTTCCCATGTAGGGCAGAGTGGTGCACAGGTACCACCATGGAACAAATTTACTAGATTTTTTTCATTTTCCACCATATAATTGTATTTGTATTAGATGCATAGAAGTTTGCACCACCAGAATTTTCACCATAGCTCTGCCCCTGGTCCTGCTATTGCAAATACTAATGTCTGAATATTCGGTCAACTTGTACGCTGTAAAGAACTTGAACCAAATCCCTTTCCAATTAAAATTCTTCTGTGTAGATATGCTCCAGCAACACAACTTTGGAGAGGAAGACTTCATGTGATGGGTGGCAGCAAGGAGGATAGGCATGAACCTGGGCTTTAGCACTGGAGTCTTGCCGTAAAAGATGGGAAGGCATTGGAGAAAGAGTGGAGGAGTGAGATACCAATACCACGTGGAGGTCCTCATAGGTCTTGAAGTTTCCCTTCCTATGTTATCAGCAGTTGTCATTTTCATTGGAAATCATGCTGCTAGATGCCTATGCCCTAGGTTGTCTTGGCACTTTGGCGCTTTACACTTCCACTTTTCTTAAGCTCCTGGCAAAGTTTATGCTTATATATAGGAAATGTTTTTCTACAAATTTGGTTGGATGGTACAAAAAACTTTATAAGAAGTTGCTGAAGTATAAAGATATTTTGTTTTACCACCAGGGCTTGTGTTGTTGCAAATGATAAACTCTTCATTATTGGTGGTCAAGAAGGTGATTTCATGGCAAAGCCTGGGTCTCCTATATTTAAATGTGTTAGAAGAAGTGAGGTATGTTGATATGCAACTCATTCTTATAGCTAATTGATGCACATTATGTGGTCCCTATGTTTTAAGATCAACTGAGATCAATTCCCTGCGTTAAAGACAACATAAACCATATGCCGTGCATGATTAAAGTCTAGTAAATAAGCATCTAAGCACCAAACATGCTGCAGGTGCTTTGTTCAATAAATAATGGCGGACCTAATTTCACCAGAAAGTGTATTGGCATCATGTGCAGTGCATTTTTTTAAGAAAAAAAGCAAACTATAAAGACACTTAGTTTGATTTAAATATGAAGCTATCATATATCGCATATATTCAAGCATTACCATAATTGATGGTTTTGGGTTGAGACCAGAATCAATCCAAAAGTACTAGTTAAATCTGACATTCTAGTTTCACTATTTTCTTAGTAACCTTCCTATTTGCACTATTTGGCCCTGTTCGCTTCTCTTATAATCCGTCTTTTTCAGCCGGAACAGTGTTTTTCTCTCACAACAAATTAGCCGGAGCAGTGTTTCGGCTTGTTTTTTCAGCGAAGCGAACGGGGCCTTTGTTTATCTCTGTTATTGCCCCTCCTTTTAAAAACAACATTGTGCTTGTGCAGGTTGTGTATAGCAATGTTTATATGCTTGATGATGGACATACTTGGAAAGAACTTCCTCCTATGCCAAAACCAGATTCACATATAGAATTTGCTTGGGTGAATGTCAACAATTCTCTCGTTATTGCCGGAGGAACCACAGATAAGCACCCAATAACTAAAAAAATGGTGTTAGTTGGTGAAATATTTCGGTTCAATCTGGATACGCTGGTACGTACGTTCCCCTGTTTCTGTGTGTTTCTGTTATTGTAAAGATAGTTTTGAAAAGGACAGGACATTGGAGGAAACAGAGCATGCTGGTGCTAATTCTTGTTTCTTGTCATGGTGCTTTTGTTAATAGTATCAGATGGTACTGTAATAGTATTATGCTATGTAGGGCCTGTTCGGCTGGTATTAAAGCCGGCTGATAAGCCGGCTAAAGCTGTTTTGTTGTGAAAGAAAAATACTGTAGAGAATTTAAATTGCCATGATACTGAAATCTCGTTAAACTTTCAATTTCTGAAAATTAAAATTGCCATGATACTGAAAAAGTACATAATTTGGTGGGTAACAAGAAGCATGATAAGAGTGTATCGAAGTCGCATTTGTAAATCACTGCGGTCCTTGGTATGCCATCATGATGCTATTGAACCTCCATCTGCAGGAATGGAGTTTGATTGGGCAGTTACCTTTCCGAATCAAGACCACATTGGTAGGATACTGGGATGGATGGCTGTATTTCACTTCTGGGCAACGAGACAAAGGACCAAAAGACCCGTCTCCTAAAAAGGTTGTTGGGTGCATGTGGAGAACTAAATTGCACCTGTGATTTCCTTAAAAAAGAACTGATATGACTGAGCCATTCATTGTGTTTTTTTTTGGGTACTTCTGTTTCAATCCCCCAATGCTGGGCGAGTTGTTTCTTGGTTATCGTAGGTGAAATGGGTGGCTTTGTGGACTGTCACGTCATGCCATTGCCACCGGGGTGTTGTATGTTTATTCTTTTATTAGTTACACCCTAGGATCACCAATTTTTGCACCATCTTGTACAGACTACAGAGAATCGATCGACTGTCCAGGGGCTGTCGCAATCGTGTATGTTGTAGCATATACCTTCTTTTATTTAGCTCGTACACTCGTCTGTAGTGGGTAGTGAATCGATTGGATATCTTCTAAAATTAATCTCAACTTCAACTTGAGCCATTGCTGGCCCTGTTCGCTTCTCTTATACTCCGTACTTTTCAACTTGTTTTTCCAGTCAGAACCGTGTTTTTAACAATAAATCAGTTGGAACAGTGTTTTGGCTTTTTTTCAGCGAGCGAACGGGGCCGTTATGGTTGACTTGGGCCCTCTTTACTTTCGTATCACATGCTTTCTGTGAGTAATGGCCTGATGGGAGTATTTCCACTGATTCCTGGTACTTTACACCCGTGTTAAAATAATAAAGTATCTGGATGATTGGCTTGTCATGCGATCAGATGTGCCGGAAGGATTGCGATCCTTACGTTCTTCAACTTGTAACTTGTTTGTGACGTGAAATACTGGGCTTGTTGCTGTTGATGACCACATAATCCATTCCCACGAGTACCTGCACTGACCATGCTCGCATAACCATATCCAGAAGACAGCGAAACTCAGAAGGTGATCCCGAGCACCTGCGACTGTCCTTCTGGTTTCGCTGTTCTTGGGACTTTTTCTTTTTTTCTTCTTCTCGAAATACATATATTGCTTCTGATTTTGTAGCATTCCAAGCTTTCGACATTTTGATGCATCCAGCCACCAGCTGTTCAGGTCTAGCATTCTTCGTGGAGTACTGTAGCCAATAATTAGCTCAGCTCAGGGATGCGCTTGCTGAGATCAGGGCGTGATGAACACACACATCAGTATCCAAATAGCTCGCCTTGCCCTTCCTTTCCCGGCTGGAGCTAGACCAGTAATTCTTTGGATGCTCCCGATGAAACAGTAAAAGCTGAACAGTGATGGACTAAACGAGCCGCACATGCGCTAGACTTTGGACTCACCAGTCCACGGTCTCGTCCCGGCACTTAAACTTAGCTGAAACTGGCTGAAAAACACGGTTTCGGTTGAATCGTTGTGAGAGAAAAACACTGTTCCAGCTCAAAAAAAGAAGCCAAACAAGTCGAATATATTGTGCGTAGGCTCAGACAACTGATTTGCAATCACACTAGGAAACAATTCGCTAAATTCGCGTGATTTTTCTCGTTACGACTTTACTGGACGTTGATGTTTCCTACTACTCCTACCTCCGACGCTTACCGCGACCGACTAGGCGACTAAGCCCGGTTGATTTTGATTGGCGTGGATGGATGTTGGAACTTTGAATCCCAGAAGTGAAGAAGAACCTTCTTTCAGGCCCCTCCGATCCGGCGTACAAGACCCTAATTCTGCCACTTGTGTTCGCTCGCGATCGCAAACGGTATGGAGTTCCCATTATGTCTATGCAATTATGCATCACTGTATCAGCCCTCGTCAGTCGCTCTATGCAAATTCTACTGCTGCTACTGCGCTCGTGCGGGTGACGGCGGAAGACGACCTCGCCAATCCCATCATCTCCATGGATTGCTTCGTCTTCCTCTGGTGACTGCTTCTCATTTCCATTCATGGTCCATGAGCATGGATGCAAGTAAAGTTAAATGTGCCCTTAAGGCCATGTGCTCTCACCCCATCCACCATTGGATTCAGTGCTTTTGCTTTTCTTCTAGTGACACCTCTTCCACTTAATTGTGATCAGAGTCTGACTGCCTGTCTATAAATCGGTGATGATTGACTTGTTTGGGGATTCTCTCTCTCTCTCTCTCATCAGAAGAGACATTCTGTGCTATTGCCCCTAACTGTCGATACTCATCGGAAAGACAAAGAGATACACCACAAGGAGAGAGAGATGGCATACATAATGAGAGAGTTGGTTGCTGGATCGATGTTATTGATATGTAGCAACTGCCAATTCATATATTCCCTTTGAAATGGTACATACATTATAGGAGTAGCTAGAAAGAATGCATGCCAGTTAATCAATCCGCTGATGCAGATAAATTTACACACACACACACACACACACACACACACACACACACACACATATATATATATATATATATATATATATATAAAGAGTTAAATGCACTAGATTCATTAATTTTTTGTGGTGTGTCATCTAAGTCCATCAATTTTCAAATTATATTTTTTGGTCCATTAACTTTTGGTGGTGTGTCATTCAGGTCCATCAACTTTCAAACTGTATTTTTAGGTCCATTAACTTTTGGTGGTATGTCATTCATGTCCATCAACTTTTAAATTGCATTTTTAGGTCCATAAACTTTTTAACTGGTTCACCGTAGATCCATACTCCTTCGTTTAGTGAATAGATCTGATATGGCACACCAAACAAGCAACCACCGTGGAGCACAGGACCAAATCACCATCCGAAGATAATCTTCAATACGAAGAACCTGACGAGATCACCATCTAGGGTTTCTCGAGCGGCGGCTCGATGGAGAATAAACTCCACAACAAAATCCAGTCTAATCTACCTGGTACAAGGCCGAAGGCCACGGGTATAGGCACGCAGGCCACCTGACCGAAACAAAACTTGGACTCCACCAGCTCAACTAGGATCGATTGACCCTGAGTCCCTGATTCGACTAACATACACGGCATGTCAAACACAGCCACAAATTTTATTCACGTACACAGGTGCACACAGACACTAAAAGCTAGATGCTAGATAAAAGATCATGTCACAACTGGTTAGAAAACTAATGCATGGAAATAATAAAATATTAAGACAAGGATGCTAATCACGTTGGGAAAATTTCATTGATGATCTTCACCTCTTTAGAATTAGTACTGATGTATTTTGTTGGCTTCATTTTCTCCTCTTTTTCATGCAATAATAAGGCACCTCTATAAAATACCTTTGATGACAGTCCAACAGTTATAAATTTCTCTATGTCCATAATATATTTACCCTTAAAAATAATAGTTCTAAATTTAAGACCAGAGGATATTAACGAATTACCATCTGCTATATTTGAATTATTGCTAGACAAGTCTCCATGAACATCTTAAGAAGCTATGGACTCATCACTTACTCTATGGTGACTGTTTATTTGGCGTGCCATGTCAGATCTATTCACTAAATGGAGAGGTATGGACCTACGGTGAACAAGTTAAAAAGTTTAAGGACCCAAAAATACAATTTGAAAGTTGATGGACCTGAATGACACACCACCAAAAATTAATGGATCCAAAAATACAGTTTGAAAGTTGATGGACCTGGATGACACACCACCAAAAGCTAATGGACCCAAAAATACAGTTTGAAAGTTGATGGATCTAGATGACACACTACCAAAAGTTAATGGATCTATGGTGTATTTAACTCTAAATAAATGAGTGAGTGCACATCAGCAAAGCAAAGTATGAACAATCTTTCCAAATTCTTTCAGCATGTTCGCTTGGTCTTATTTGGCTTATAAGCTATGACTTATCAGCCAACGAACATTATTTTTCTCTCACACCAAACTAATCAACAGTACTTACAGCCATGGCTTATAAGCCAAACCAGCCCAAACGAACCGGGCCTTTGACATTGGTTTGGTTGTCTGTAGGAGAATATATGAATCAGGTCACAAATGGTTTGCTCGATCACTCTATAGTTCGTGTATGAGGGCACAGCAGGCAGCTTAATCAAATCAGAGGAGAAGGGCGAGCAGGGCGTTGAAGACTGTCTCGGGGGTCGCCCACTTCCTTCGCCGCTTGCTCTTGGTGATGGCGCTCTGCAGTTGTTGGTCCAGCCGGCGGCCATCCAGATCCAGCAGGTGGTTGTGGTTCCTCCTGGTGGCCTCCCTGAGCGGGCCCCAGCACTCTATCCGGTTGTACTTGCGAGAGGTGGAGTGGAAATGCACCCACACCTTGGCCTCCATCAGCTCCGGCCGCTCCGCGAACAGAGCCGCGTCGCCGTGAACCACCGCCTTGAGGACCTTAAGATCCATCCATCATCAGCTTATTAACAGATAATAAGGTTATTAAGGGTCTAGTTGATCGGAATGCAAGCAACGTGTACTACTAGTACGTACCAGCGGTAGCTCTTTGGAGAAGACGTAGTATCTGAAACCTGCGGCCAGCTCCTGCAGGAGGTTGGCGCCGCTGACGAAGCAATGCACCTGCAGCGTCATCTCCCTCTCCCCGGCGTTGGCGGCGGTGGTCACCTCCTTCCACTCTGCCACCACGTCGTCCCTCTGCAGCGTCGACTGCCAGCTGCGTAGCTGCTCGCTGGTCATGGGACCGCTCACGGCCAGCGTCAGGTTCGCCGTGAAATCGCAGTGGGTCAGAGTGTAGGCTCTGGGGAAAGGAGGAGGCTGCTTGTCCTCTCCGGCGAACTTCACCTTGAGCTTTGCCGCATTGAAGGTCATGGGAGGTCCCAAAATCTTTGCAGCCTGCAGATATCAAATCGACATGATTTTAGTTGCTAGTTACTCCATTTTAATCAATCAGAATGCACTCACTAGGGAAGAGTAAAAAAAAAACATACCAGGGAGGAGTAGACGTCCGCTGTCCTAGCATCGCAGCTGACGACCAAGAAACGAGGTGGTTCCGCCCTGCAGCCACCCATCCTCCTGCTCGGCCTGCTGCTCGCAACGAGCGCGCCGCCACGGGCCACCATGGATGCTGCTGCCGCCATCTTCAATTCAGATGATGGCCGGAACCTGGGCCGGGGGGGAGCGGCCGTGAGCGAGCTAATTCAGACGACACACGAGCAGCAAGGCCCCTTCCCTCTCATGGCAATGCGGTTGCAGTGTTTCTCTT